ATATGGTACAAGTGGGAAAGGGCACAGATCTTTGACGGAAGCAAACACAACTGAGGCTCTGGAAAAGCCAGAGCCATTGGAATTCCTCAGTATCGAGGAGCTGTCTGCATTTTTCAACAAACGAATTGGTACTCGTGGAGTGCATGAGAAAGCTTGTTTCAAAGGACAAGAAGAGAGTTCTCTCCGAGTACAACTTGAGGTCGCGGCTGACAGGTCTAAAAAAAACTCATCACGGGACGGTGTTAGGCCAGTAGTCGCTGGAGTCCAGAAGCCTTTCCCAGCGCTGTACCATGCGCCAGGCATCAGTTGTGCCTTTGGCGAGACCTCTCAGAAAGCCATCCAGCAGACCGAAGATACAGCACCTTGCCGCACTCGGATGGTTGTGGCGCAGCAGAAGCACTGACAGCAACAATGGTACTGTCACAAGCTTGCAAGTTTCTTTGCTTGGATACATCAGACCATTCGGATCTATGTGGATCTATTTGGATCTAGGTTCAAGATGGTTCAAGTAATCTACATGTTTATTCCATTATCTTCCATTTCACCTATAAGATGATTCTCCCATATTCTCCCAATGAGTCGCAATACGTTTGGACTGGATTCAGGTCCCGATGAGTTTTTCTTCTTCACTGAGACATCCCCGGAGAAGAGGAGGTGCGAAAATATGCGAAAATGATCATGAGGAGCAACCATAGTGCCATAGTATGTTTTGGATTCTTCATTGATCAAGCATATTTTGCGGGAAAATATAGTGCCATTTTTGCAACCATAATTTTGGGTATCCCCCTTTGAGACAAACCCCTACTGTGGATGGAAGAAATCCTGCACCACCTTGGATGGTTGAAACCCTATAAATAATGGGATAAACCACCTATCAACTGGTGCAGGATTTCTTCCATCAACAGTAGTATAACCCCATATTATGTTCAACTTCCAAGCTGCGATGAGGCGCTTCCTCGACCTGAAGGTGTCAAACATGCAGGGCATACCTCCGCCGCCACACTCAGTGCGTCTGCAGAGATTTGCCTACGGATGGTGCCCCCCGAGTGATGTTTGTTGGTTTATAAACCCCATGAATATCCATGAATACTATAGTTTTCTATAGTTATATCTACCATAAACCATAGAATTCAGCCACTTCTAAGGCAACTGAACGCTATCTTATTGGGGGCCGCATCCTGTATGATGTGGGTGGTATTTGTAACTTTTCGAAGGATTTGCATCCATAGTGATGCTCCATTTCTCATTGCCTCACTATCCTCACTGTACTTGCAATGTTACAAGGCCGCGCTGGACCTAGCCGGAAACCCTGAGCAGCAAATCAGTTCAAAAAAGTCAGACCGTATGGGTTAACTCGTGTTCAGTCAATCTGCTGTCATCGGAGATCTTGTTTTATGATGTTTTATGTGATTTGTTGAAGAAAGGTTTGTATCACACGGATCACAGCGGTACGCTGCGAAATGGTCGGCTCAAGTCTTCCTAGTTCGTACCTGCCAAAAATAACCAGTTCTCCAGTCAGTGTGCCCAGTGGGAAGGGCATGGAAGGACCAGCCAGGAATGGGAAAGGACGTCCAATTCTGGAGGGGAAAGGGTCGCTCCAGTGCCATTGAACTTGTTTTCCGGGGGGGCTATATTTGTGAGGGTTGAGAGAACAAGTTTGTACCAAGGCCTTCTGACGCAATGGCTGAGGAGGAGGGGCTTTGGTCTCAGAGAAGCTGAATGATAAGATCCATGTCACGTAACTCCGCGGCACGTCACACATGTCACATGTGACATTATGAACTATAATTCTCTAATTACTGTAATTACATTTAGTTTGATTAATTATACGGATTATGCACATTGGTGGCAGCTTTTCTCCGATTCTCCAACCATCGGTGTTGAGCGTGTTTTCGAATGATCTATGAGTATACTTGGATACCTCAGGGTTGGGGACAGAAATTTGGAGAGCAGAGAAGCGATGCAGAGCCGGAAGTTTGTGGAGAGACGGGAAGATTGCAAAGGATCCTTCATTTCCAATCGTGCAATTCAACTCAATCTCACTGCTTTGATTCCTTACCCATTTTGCTGTGACTCCCGCCGCATAAAAGAGAGATTATTCGTTCAATTTTTGATACATTAATATCCTCCTGGGAATTTAGCCTAAAGACTTGAGGACATGATGTCTTTAAAAAACTGTATTATCATGTATTATCATTAATTAATGTATTATCGTTGGCTTGGGCGCTCTGTGAGAAATTGTGAGAAGAATTCACTATGCCGAGGGATGCTGAGAGCTATAGGATGTATACCCCTGACCAAGGCAGGAAGTTATTTTCACCGAGAACACCGCGTCGCGTGCTCAGCCACTTTCCATTTCAACATGTTGAAGCCTACTTCTTGAAATCTGAATGCATCTGAATGCTTTAGGCCGGACAGAGAGATTTGGGATGAGAAGGGTGGTCTCATCAAGAAAGGCCCGGCAATCCACAAATTGTTAATACCCCCAAAGTGTTGTGTCGATCGAGTCCTGACTTTGCTGCAATAAAACAACGACAAAATACGACACACTTTTTACAGCACATTTACATACATTTACATTTTCACAACTTTTTCTCCAGCTTACTTGTAATAAATTCTTTCACTGCAAAGTAGCGTAGAAAGCTGGGCTTTGATCCAGGTGCAGCTGAAATTGCTGAGCGCGATCAGGATCATGTGCCAGAAGTCAAGGCAATTGTTGAGCGTAAAGTGGAGAAGCTGCTGCATCAGTCAGGGTTTCTCCAACCCATAGGTACATCCAATAGGGGAAACTTTATCGAGCCAGGGTTGGGAGCAACCCTGTCAGTGGATAGAGGAGAATGCTGGTAACCTGCCTTGTCCAACGGAGTAGACTTGGGCTCAACTGCCCTCCACCAATTTGGACAGGTTTTGACCACTCTAGGTGCGGCGCCAGTGTAGTCGCTGTCATGCCAGTGTTCGGAGAATGTTCTGTAGCAAAAAAACATTTTTTTTTGGCTGCAGGCATGTTTGCCGTGCCTGTGACCGCAGAGTTGATGTCTTAGCTGTTTCAACTGCATTCAACTGCCAGTCCGACACAAGTGATGACTCTGCAGTTGGTACCACTTGTCAGTCCTTTCTTTGCTGAGGACAACCGTTGGTGAGATCCGTCAGAAAGTGCAAGAGTGGAAGCCAGAGTGACCCTGAATACTACAGTACCCTTTGTATCCCTTTGTGAGACGCTTATATCAAAATTTCGAGGAAATTATTTTATGAGACACGTTTTGAAAAATCATCCTGGAGCCAGGTATTCCTTGGAGCAAATTGAGCTCGTCTGCAAAGACAAAGATGTAGTGTGCTCAGCATCGATTGGTTCATGCCCAACAAACTTATGATGACGTGTAGTCAGCAAGTTTGCGTGGACCTGCTGGCGTAGAGAGAGAACCACGAAAGTCACAGACGACTGAGGCATGGGGGCCTCTTTTCAACAAGACCTCCCGCCCAAGGCCTTTGGCTTTGACAGTTTGATGGCTGTGATATCTGGTGCGGTAGGATCGTATGGTACATAAAGGATTACAACATCTCGAAAAGGCCATATGAAATCAAGAAATATCTCAGTCCACAGGGGTCGGCATGCTCAGTTTAAACTTCAAAGAAACATAAAGAATGCGCAGATTTGCAATGCACCATTTCCAGGGACAAGGCAGAATATTCAGAACATCCTGGCATTGCATGGTGGATCCAGAGTCACCAACGACACCAATGGCAAAGCCATTCCATCTATCCGATGTTTTTTTTGTGTTGCCAGGGATGACGATGAAACCGTTACAGGCTTAGATCGACATGAGTCTGCACCATGAGATTTCCTGACTGGGGCTGGATATACTGCAACTCCCCTTTGAGGTCGAGTCTTTGTGGAGTGATTGGGACATTCCCCGTCGCATGATGCAGGCCCGCTCTTAATAATTTGAACGCTGGAAGGCTTTTAGGACAACAGTTTCTCGTCTTGGCCGATCTTTGGAAGGTTGCTTTGTGGATCAAAGAGAAGAACGAGGAGACAGGCGAGTGCGAACCTTAGAAAGCATGTTTGTCGGTGTGAGCTGTCCTCCCATTGAGCTTCTCGAATCTGTGATGATGATGATGATGATGGTGGTGGTGGTGGTGATGGTGGTGGTGATGATGATGGTGGTGATGATGGTGGTGATGATGGTGGTGGAGGTGGTGGTGACGATGACCAAGACATACCAAGACCAATTGAAACACCACCACCATTGGATCCTTAGGTGGGAAAGTACCTTCTGGAAGATGTTGGAGGAGAGCAAATGCTCGGAGCCCAGATCTGGTTCTGAGTCCAGCCCCTCAGATTGGCCAAATTGGGGCACTCCCCTGGCCTTCAGGTGACGATTGGAGCTTCCAGGGTGCAGAGCCTATACAGTAACATTGCAAATCAATGCAAATCATAAAAATCATATCCATTCTGATGTCAGTGACACCGATCCAGAATTTTCGCCTGCTGAGGTCACACCATTTGAAAACACTCTAGTCCAGCTCTCAAATTAGCGACTGGGAACTGAGATTGCTTTGGAAAATGAGAAAATCGCAGTACTCTAAGAAACAATGCCGAAGTTAACAAAGCTTGAAGCTGGAAGAGCTGGCTTCAACTGGACTGCTTCAACCTGGTCACCCCAGGTCGGGTGATTCTTGCAGCGACGTGGTGGTGTGTCGTAGCTGTCGTAGCTCGAGGTCCTGAGTTGCTCTTCGCAGAAAGTCACAGCTACAGCATTTTACAGCTGTTCCAGATGAGAAAAGGAGCACTTGGTCAGTGTCGGATGAAGCTTGAAGAGAGGGACAGCAGGTCAAATGCTCACAGACTTTGAGAAACCACACTAAGTTGGAATTCAATTCTCAGATTGAATGCTTCGAAGCAGATGCAAATGGTAAAAAAATGTGAACTGTAGGTTAATGTAACGGATGTAAATGGATCTAAATGGTAGAACGGTGCAGGAAGCAAACCTTGTAAAGGGAAGCAGCAGTGACCATGACAGCTTGCATGACCTGTGGCTCAAGTCTTCCCAGTTTGCACCTCTCTTGTGCTGCATTCCTCAGGTGGGGAGCCCCAAAGGAACCAGGGCACTGGATGCCCTACTGCTATCAACCTTATTACCAATTCATGGGTCCAGAAAGAATGAATGATGTTCAGCAATGCCTATCATGTCTATTTTTTCAAGCAACTTATGTGTTCTTGAGATTGTAGCAAGTGGCAACGGCAACGGCATTCTAGATTCTACATATAGATCATTCATCATTTGTACTATCATTTCTGGATATATATATATCGCCGGACAAATGCTTAGAACCTGTGGAAATTTTCCAAAACGCTCGGGTATGAAAATTTCTTCGCACTTAGAACCTCTTAGGTTCTAAGTGTGAGTTCTTTTTTATTTTCCGGAGGTTCTAAGTGCGAAGTCCCCCAACCATTTGCCTCATCCCCTATCATTCCTATAAACAGGGTAAACATATATAACATAATATGTTTCAATATGTTCAACATAGTTATGATCAGAAAACGCACTATAATGTGGAAGGAATCGCATTCTTTTCTGCTAGGCGGACAAGCTGTCAGTATTTGAAAAACTCTTGAAACGATGCCATCACTTGGCCGGGTAGATTTGGTAGTTCCGATGCTGGGTTTTTTCCACTTTCCAAAATAAATGGATATAAATGGTTTGTGCTCCGATCTCAAAGGATAGTGGTCAAAGCTTGAGTTCATATATTTATTTATATATATATAGTCAAAATATGTAGACGTTATATAATTGATCTTGATATTATTTAAAATCATGATGATTTTCAGAGGTTCTAAGTGCGAATCTCCCCAACTATTTACATGGTTATAAACATATGTAGATGTTAACTCATATCATTAAAGATACTCATGATTGTGAGAGGTTCTAAGTGCGAAGTCCCCCAACCATTTGCCTCATCCCCTATCATTCCTATAAACAGGGTAAACACATATAACATAATATGTTTTAATATGTTCAACATAGTTATGATCAGAAAACACACTATAATGTGGAAGGAATCGCATTCTTTTCTGCTAGGCGGACAAGCTGTCAGTATTTGAAAAACTCTTGAAACGATGCCATCACTTGGCCGGGTAGATTTGGTAGTTCCGATGCTGGGTTTTTTCCACTTTCCAAAATAAATGGATATAAATGGTTTGTGCTCCGATCTCAAAGGATAGTGGTCAAAGCTTGAGTTCATATATTTATTTATATATATATAGTCAAAATATGTAGACGTTATATAATTGATCTTGATATTATTTAAAATCATTATGATTTTCAGAGGTTCTAAGTGCGAACCTCCCCAACCATTTACATGGTTATAAACATATGTAGATGTTAACTCATATCATTAAAGATACTCATGATTGTGAGAGGTTCTAAGTGCGAAGTCCCCCAACCATTTGCCTCATCCCCTATCATTCCTATAAACAGGGTAAACATATATAACATAATATGTTTCAATATGTTCAACATTGTTATGATCAGAAAACACACTATAATGTGGAAGGAATCGCATTCTTTTCTGCTAGGCGGACAAGCTGTCAGTATTTAAAAAACCCTTGAAACGATGCCATCACTTGGCCAGGTAGTTTTGGTAGTTCCGATGCTGGGCTTTTTCCACTTTCCAAAATAAATGGATATAAATGGTTTGTGCTCCGATCTCAAAGGATAGTGGTCAAAGCTTGAGCTCATTCATATATATATATATAGTGAAAATATGTAGACGTTATATAATTGATCTTGATATTATTTAAAATCATGATGATTTTCAGAGGTTCTAAGTGCGAATCTCCCCAACTATTTACATGGTTATAAACATATGTAGATGTTAACTCATATCATTAAAGATACTCATGATTGTGAGAGGTTCTAAGTGCGAAGTCCCCCAACCATTTGCCTCATCCCCTATCATTCCTATAAACAGGGTAAACATATATAACATAATATGTTTCAATATGTTCAACATAGTTATGATCAGAAAACACACTATAATGTGGAAGGAATCGCATTCTTTTCTGCTAGGCGGACAAGCTGTCAGTATCTAAAAAACCCTTGAAACGATGCCATCACTTGGCCAGGTAGTTTTGGTAGTTCCGATGCTGGGCTTTTTCCACTTTCCAAAATAAATGGATATAAATGGTTTGTGCTCCGATCTCAAAGGATAGTGGTCAAAGCTTGAGTTCATATATTTATTTATATATATATAGTCAAAATATGTAGACGTTATATAATTGATCTTGATATTATTTAAAATCATGATGATTTTCAGAGGTTCTAAGTGCGAATCTCCCCAACTATTTACATGGTTATAAACATATGTAGATGTTAACTCATATCATTAAAGATACTCATGATTGTGAGAGGTTCTAAGTGCGAAGTCCCCCAACCATTTGCCTCATCCCCTATCATTCCTATAAACAGGGTAAACATATATAACATAATATGTTTTAATATGTTCAACATAGTTATGATCAGAAAACACACTATAATGTGGAAGGAATCGCATTCTTTTCTGCTAGGCGGACAAGCTGTCAGTATTTAAAAAACCCTTGAAACGATGCCATTTTTTCCACTTTCCAAAATAAATGGTTTGTGCTCCGATCTCAAAGGATAGTGGTCAAAGCTTGAGTTCATATATTTATTTATATATATATATAGTCAAAATATGTAGACGTTATATAATTGATCTTGATATTATTTAAAATCATGATGATTTTCAGAGGTTCTAAGTGCGAATCTCCCCAACTATTTACATGGTTATAAACATATGTAGATGTTAACTCATATCATTAAAGATACTCATGATTGTGAGAGGTTCTAAGTGCGAAGTCCCCCAACCATTTGCCTCATCCCCCCCAACACATATAACATAATATGTTTCAATATGTTCAACATAGTTATGATCAGAAAACACACTATAATGTGGAAGGAATCGCATTCTTTTCTGCTAGGCGGACAAGCTGTCAGTATTTAAAAAACCCTTGAAACGATGCCATCACTTGGCCGGGTAGATTTGGTAGTTCCGATGCTGGGCTTTTTCCACTTTCCAAAATAAATGGATATAAATGGTTTGTGCTCCGATCTCAAAGGATAGTGGTCAAAGCTTGAGTTCATATATTTATATATATATATATATGTAGTCAAAATATGTAGACGTTATATAATTGATCTTGATATTATTTAAAATCATGATGATTTTCAGAGGTTCTAAGTGCGAATCTCCCCAACTATTTACATGGTTATAAACATATGTAGATGTTAACTCATATCATTAAAGATACTCATGATTGTGAGAGGTTCTAAGTGCGAAGTCCCCCAACCATTTGCCTCATCCCCTATCATTCCTATAAACAGGGTAAACACATATAACATAATATGTTTTAATATGTTCAACATAGTTATGATCAGAAAACACACTATAATGTGGAAGGAATCGCATTCTTTTCTGCTAGGCGGACAAGCTGTCAGTATTTAAAAAACCCTTGAAACGATGCCATCACTTGGCCGGGTAGATTTGGTAGTTCCGATGCTGGGCTTTTTCCACTTTCCAAAATAAATGGATATAAATGGTTTGTGCTCCGATCTCAAAGGATAGTGGTCAAAGCTTGAGTTCATATATTTATTTATATATATATAGTCAAAATATGTAGACGTTATATAATTGATCTTGATATTATTTAAAATCATTATGATTTTCAGAGGTTCTAAGTGCGAACCTCCCCAACCATTTACATGGTTATAAACATATGTAGATGTTAACTCATATCATTAAAGATACTCATGATTGTGAGAGGTTCTAAGTGCGAAGTCCCCCAACCATTTGCCTCATCCCCTATCATTCCTATAAACAGGGTAAACATATATAACATAATATGTTTCAATATGTTCAACATTGTTATGATCAGAAAACACACTATAATGTGGAAGGAATCGCATTCTTTTCTGCTAGGCGGACAAGCTGTCAGTATTTAAAAAACCCTTGAAACGATGCCATCACTTGGCCAGGTAGTTTTGGTAGTTCCGATGCTGGGCTTTTTCCACTTTCCAAAATAAATGGATATAAATGGTTTGTGCTCCGATCTCAAAGGATAGTGGTCAAAGCTTGAGCTCATTCATATATATATATATAGTGAAAATATGTAGACGTTATATAATTGATCTTGATATTATTTAAAATCATGATGATTTTCAGAGGTTCTAAGTGCGAATCTCCCCAACTATTTACATGGTTATAAACATATGTAGATGTTAACTCATATCATTAAAGATACTCATGATTGTGAGAGGTTCTAAGTGCGAAGTCCCCCAACCATTTGCCTCATCCCCTATCATTCCTATAAACAGGGTAAACACATATAACATAATATGTTTTAATATGTTCAACATAGTTATGATCAGAAAACACACTATAATGTGGAAGGAATCGCATTCTTTTCTGCTAGGCGGACAAGCTGTCAGTATTTAAAAAACCCTTGAAACGATGCCATCACTTGGCCGGGTAGATTTGGTAGTTCCGATGCTGGGCTTTTTCCACTTTCCAAAATAAATGGATATAAATGGTTTGTGCTCCGATCTCAAAGGATAGTGGTCAAAGCTTGAGTTCATATATATATATGTAGTCAAAATATGTAGACGTTATATAATTGATCTTGATATTATTTAAAATCATGATGATTTTCAGAGGTTCTAAGTGCGAATCTCCCCAACTATTTACATGGTTATAAACATATGTAGGTGTTAACTCATATCATTAAAGATACTCATGATTGTGAGAGGTTCTAAGTGCGAAGTCCCCCAACCATTTGCCTCATCCCCTATCATTCCTATAAACAGGGTAAACATATATAACATAATATGTTTTAATATGTTCAACATAGTTATGATCAGAAAACACACTATAATGTGGAAGGAATCGCGTTCTTTTCTGCTAGGCGGACAAGCTGTCAGTATTTAAAAAACCCTTGAAACGATGCCATCACTTGGCCGGGTAGATTTGGTAGTTCCGATGCTGGGTTTTTTCCACTTTCCAAAATAAATGGATATAAATGGTTTGTGCTCCGATCTCAAAGGATAGTGGTCAAAGCTTGAGTTCATATATATATATATATATGTAGTCAAAATATGTAGACGTTATATAATTGATCTTGATATTATTTAAAATCATGATGATTTTCAGAGGTTCTAAGTGCGAATCTCCCCAACTATTTACATGGTTATAAACATATGTAGATGTTAACTCATATCACTAAAGATACTCATGATTGTGAGAGGTTCTAAGTCCGAAGTCCCCCCACCATTTGCCTCATCCCCTATCATTCCTATAAACAGGGTAAACATATATAACACAATATGTTTTAATATGTTCAACATAGTTATGATCAGAAAACGCACTATCATGTGGAAGGAATCGCATTCTTTTCTGCTAGGCGGACAAGCTGTCAGTATTTAAAAAACCCTTGAAACGATGCCATCACTTGGCCGGGTAGATTTGGTAGTTCTGATGCTGGGTTTTTTCCACTTTCCAAAATAAATGGTTTGTGCTCCGATCTCAAAGGATAGTGGTCAAAGCTTGAGTTCATATATATATATATATATATGTAGTCAAAATATGTAGACGTTATATAATTGATCTTGATATTATTTAAAACCATGATGATTTTCAGAGGTTCTAAGTGCGAATCTCCCCAACTATTTACATGGTTTTAAACATATGTAGATGTAAACTCATATCATTAAAGATACTCATGATTGTGAGAGGTTCTAAGTGCGAGTCTCCCCAACTATTTACATGGTTATAAACATATGTAGATGTTAACTCATATCATTAAAGATACTCATGACATAGGCAGAGGTTCTAAGTGCAAGGTTTTTTGGGTTCTAAGTGCGATTTGCTCGTGAGTCGATTTTTTTTGGAAATTTTCCAAAATTGGTTCTAAGCATTTGTCCGGCGATATATATATATATATATATATCATTTAAAAAGCTATCATTCAATTACTGGATATGCCATTCCAGTACATGTATCATACATGTATCATTCATTTGTCATTCATATTAATTCTATGGAATTCTGTAAGCACCTTTGCAGGTGTTTGATTCGGACCGCATTTTTAATGGAAAATCTTCTGCTCCATGAGGTATTTTGCCGCCATGGCTGAGGAGGAAGGGTCTCGGCCCCGGCGCAACATGGAATCGTGAATGGTCTGGCAAAAGGAAACATGTCACGGTTAACACAAGGCAAAACTCTAGCAGCATGAGTTTCAGAATTCGCCTGGAATCCAGCAATAGAGAGGTGGCAAACACATGCAAATTTTATCCAACCACGAATTGTGCAAGGGGCAAGGTGAATCAGGTGAGGATTCTACCGGCAGCGAGCAGAACCACAGGAAAAGCACGGTGTAAAATGGCCTACAAAGAATGAGGTGATGCAAGTTCCATCGTGTGTGGACATTGAGATTGGAACAGCTGAGCTCGAGGATAGATCCTTTCAACAACGCCAAAGCCAGTCTGAAAATTCCCCACACTTGGACTCAAACAAAAATCGTGACGAACTCACCGCAAGTGCAAGATACTTGCCTACTGCCTCACCAAAGTAGGCCATTTATATTACAATATCATTTTACATCAATAAATATCAATAGTCAATTTGTCAATAAGCTATTAGGACCGACTAATGAATCTGCTACACTGCTGAGGCAGGAAGTCATTTTCACCGAAAACACCGCGCTGCTGTCTGAGCCAGTTGATTTGCATTTCGCAACTGGCCGTGATATACAGCTCTCAACAGAAAGGCATAGGTTGCTTGAAGCATTCGCTTCCTCACTTGTTTAGGCCGGACAGAGAGATTTGGGATGAGAAGGGTGGTCTGATCAAGAAAGGCCCGGCCTACGTCGGCATGATTTTGCAACCTCAAATTAAATGAACAATTGTAGACATAATTATCCTCTTCTTGCAAGTATTGATAGATAGACTCTGGAACGTCCTGATGTGCAGGTCCTTGCACATACTCCCAGCGACTGTAAGAAAATTGTTCTTCCGTAAAGTCCAAATGTAGAAAGCTGACATGTGATCCAGGTGCAGCTGAAATTGCTGAGCGCGATCAGGATCATGTGCCTGAAGTCAAGGCACCCAAGTCTTGACAGGTTGTTTACTTTTGACTTGGGCAACCATCAGCTCATCAGCTGCCATGTTTGCAACAATTGAGTCATCCATTGGTCCAGAAGAAAGGAAGCATTGGATGCTTTTCGGCACACTTCACGCTGACTTTGCAGGTTTTGACCACTCTAGGCTGGAGATCATGTTTTGTCCAAAGTCGTTGAATGTCGTTGAATGTCGTTGAATGTCGTTGAGTTGCCAGAGACATGGACCCTGGTGGTTACATAGGTCCAGCTGATGTCCATAGTCTGCTGATGCGAATCGCCACAGGCATGTTCGCCGTGCCCGTGACTGCAGAGTTCACCTCTCAGAAAGGGACCTGGAACGGCTTGGATGGGCTTGGTATGTCTCAAGGCACCTGGGGAATTTTGAAGATTTCAAACATCACCTGAAGATGCTTAGTGGTAGTATCTGGTAGTGATTAAAAATGATGGGATGGTGTTCACCTGATTTTTTTCAGCCACACTGGCCACACTTGTGTTGTTCGCAAGAACTACTGACCAAGGACCACAGTGGGTGAGATCCGTCAAAAAGTGCAGGAGTGGAAGCCGGAGTGACCCTTGCATGTCCTCATCATCTTCATTTTGCAACTTTAAGGTCCTGGAGACTGACATGACACGTCATGGAACCAGGTATTCCTTGGAGCAAATTGAGCTCGTTTGCAAAGACAAAGATGCTGCGTGCTCAGCGCCAGTCCTCAACAGATTGTGATCCTGTTGAGTGGCTGAACTGAAATGAATTGTTCGCAAGGACACATGCGTATCCATGTGTCACGTAAGGCATGGGGGCCTCTCTTCAACAAGACCTCCCGCCCAAGGCTGTTTGCATGTGGGGCACAAGGGACCTAGGGCAGTAATTATTAGCCTTTGCATTGTCACTCAGAGCCCCCGTCCTTGGTATGTCTGACGTATCGTTCAAAATATGGGTCATTGAGTCATTGCATTTAAGTATTGCCAGGGGATTGGCGCTTGATCCAACAGATTTTGCCAGCAATGTTTCCCGCTTAAATTGACCAAGTCGAAGAAATGCAAACCTTAACGATGAGATGCCTGTGGAAGGCTGGCAGAATATGTTCTCACTGTTGAGTTGATATACTGTAAATGGATCTGTGCTGCTAGGGATGATGATGAGACAGTGATAGACTCAGCTGACCGAGTCTCCATTTTGACGAACAAACTCGTATCTTGTAAATGATTGAAACTTGGGATTGCTCTTTTCGCAGACTTCGAATTGCAAGAAGAAATGGACAGATATAAAATATGAAATGATGTGAGATAATATATTGATAATATGAACTAGTCATGAAAGATATGAAAGGCAGAAAGTCAAAGATATGATGTGCCAATCACTCCACCAGCTCCACCCGTATTGAGGTCGAGTCATTGTGGAGCGATTGGGACATTCCCCGCCGTATGATGCAGGCCTCTGCATACGCTCGGTACAGATTGTGGAAAGGCTTGTGGAAGTTGATAAAGTATATAAAGTCTGATAGGGTCAGGGTCATGTAAAGTTGATAGACTAACAGATATTGCTTTGAGTTTGCCAAATGGAAGCTTGAGGTTGCTCTCTGGATCAAGGAGAAGAATGAGGAGACAGGTGAGTTTGATCCTAAGCCTATTGTACGTGTTGAACGTTTCACAGTATTTCCCCAGGAATGAAATACCTGCAGACATCTGCAGACTGAGTCGGTGTTTCTGAGGTGGGAGAGTACCTTTTGGAAAATGTTGGAGGAGAGCAAATGTGATGACTGGAGCTTCCAAGGCCCGAGTGGAGCGGCCCGCTGCCATAACCTGCCCAAGATAACTGTGCCCCCCGCGTAATATGGCAATCCATAAGTCCCTTAAATCAAATCTACTTGTAGCCACCTATCTTACTGATATAATCCATTATAATTCAGGATATAATTATACCCTTAACAGACTATACATAAGAATTATACGTGTGTTTGAGTGAACCAACTTCCAGCTTGATGGTTCGCATGCACAACTCATACTGAGGTCACACCATTTGAGCACTTGGTTCTGCGCAGATGCTGAAGGCAGAAGTCTCTGGTGATCAGAGCAACACAAAGAGCTGCTAGCCACTGCCACCTGCTAGAGCTGACTGACTGGCCTCCAGAATTCACACTCCATCCCCCTAAAACATACCGAAACCATCAAAAGATCTTTAAGGTCAGGAGAAGAGTGTTGCAAAATTCACAAACACACCATGTGGTGGACAAATATGGAATTCTGCTTCAGCACTGCTATCTAGTTGTCGACCACATAGTTCACAAGCTCCGCAATGCAGCTGAGGCTGGTCCACCTTGTTTGGTAATGAGAACGAGTGGCAACAGAGGATGATTAGAGCTTTCAGAGCTTAGGACATGTGATCCTTAGGCAATGCGGAAAAAGTACAGAGGATAGTGTGGGAAGGCCAACTGAATGTGCAAAATTGCGACAACTTTGAGGCTGAAGCTTCCTTGCACGCACTGGTCCAACTTGACTTCATGTTTCGATGCATGTGGATGTGCTAATTTTCAAGCATCAAGCGGTGGAAGGTGTACTATATACGATCAAGCCAAAACAGATACTCTTGAGTACCTCATGATATCCAGACTCCAGACTTAACGATGCAATCTATTGTTGTTGAAAGTGACACTGCTCTCCTTTCCAACTTGATTTGCTGATAGCCATGGCAATTGCAGCGGGTAGGGGCCAGGTTCCTTTCGCAAGGAGGTGGGGAGGACGGGGAGGTGGGGTGCCTTTGTTTGGTACATTGGCTCGTCCAAAAATGGGGGGATCAGGGTTACCGGATGATACCGGCAACTCCCCACATGGCCATTGAGAAATGAATCATTAGATTGTACTTAGACAAGACTTGTAGGGCCCCATTCCCAGATATCCTTTGTGCAGATTCCCTGCTCTAAGTTTCCCAGTTTCCACTCAAGACTTGCCAGGCGGGCCTGTACCTATCACCATGTGCTGTTTCTCGTCATTGGCGCATTCCTTCTCAGCAGACGGGGCGTGTTGGCCCCAGTCCTATCCATTGGACAAGGCTCAGAAGTTCAAGAAGTGGAGGAGAAGATCAAAGGTAGCAAAGTCTTCCTGCTCTCCAAAGAGTATCCTTGGATTGGCTGAAGCTGACTTTTTTTTTGGATTGTCCCGTTGGTTCATCCACCATTTTTTGGGGAATCTATCAGGATGTAAAGGGCCAGACCTTTACGACCTTTAGGGGGGGGGCATCGGGCCATCCAAGGTATTGCCCGTTCTGTCAAAGGGCCAAATCGATTTTGAGTTCTGTCGGAGTTGCGGGCCTCGAAGTTTTGGAGCTTGCAGATATGAACAAGCGGCCATTGGTGAAAGACCCTGCAGCTATCATGGACTACATGGAAAAGATCACTGGCGCCCGGACTGTCCCTCGTTTGTTCATCGCGGGCAAGTTCGTTGGTGGTTGCGACCAAGTCTTAGTTGTTCTTCTGCTGCATGTCGCTTTTGTGCCCTGCAGTTTGCTTAAGTTTGAAGTGGAAGTGTTGCAATATGTTGCAATCATTTCCAGGGTAGAGAGGCAAACTATCTCTGGTTGCAGATGAGGGTCTTGATCTGACATTCACTGCCAAGATTGGTCGGATAGCATTTTCATTTTTGCCTGATGCAACCAACCCTGCAAAAAGCAAAGCAATCCCCCAAAAAAGATGGAACGGCAATATCCTGCCCAAGGTAGTGGCAAATTCATGTGAATATATGTGAATTATATACACATTTTCTAACTCATGTTTTTGGGTCACTACAACATATTTCGCACTTTTGACTGAGGATGACATTGTCCGGATGTCTCAATCCGGTGAATTGCAGCAGCGCCTGAAAGAAGCTGACGCGTTGTGAATTGCTTGGGAAAAAAAATGCGGCAAAAAGATGGGAACATGGTCGTTTTCCCACTGGGATACTCCTTGTCACCATTGATTTCCTCATCATCATTGGAAATGACAAATTTTGGATAATGTTGGGGTTGCATGGGGTTGCATGGGGTTGCCAAATTTAGAAACAATAATCCTCATGCAGCTCAAATGCGGGAAATTTGGCAAACCGGCTTCGACGATGGATGGAGGTGGAGCAAAAGGAACCAGACATTGCTGAAATTGCCATGTTCATTGGTCAGAAACTTTGGTGCATTTCAAACTTGTTGCAACGCCCCAGCCTGGATTTGGTAGGGGTAGGTCAAGATCCTGTGATGTCCATCATGTTCTCACCACATTAGCCTTTTTGACTACAGCCCATCCTGCCGTTGCCGGATGAGCAGGGCTGCTTTTCGGTGCTGTGGATCTACAGTCTTGAGATAGATTCTCACCCTCCTCAAGGAGAAGAAAGAAATGAGGGCAGTCTCAATTCCATTGACCCATTTATGCAAAGGATGTATAATTGTGTAATTGCATGTATGATGTTAGACTATTGACATGATCTCCAGTACCTGTGGCAGTCGGATGATCCCTTCTCATTGCGAGTGGCTGTTTTGGCTCCCGACTGACAACATCTACACCCACCGCCTTGATCGAAGCTGATTTCTTGCAGCACGCTCAAAGCTGCCTGGCTGGACAGTCGAGTTGAGGATTGAGCTACCACTGCCATCTCAAGATGCTCTCTGAACGCCTGACTTTGATGCACAAATCTCCTTGACCGAGGGGGGGTAAAACACGCGGGGCAAATATGCTTTTAAATGTTTTGAACATCATGTCGTTCGGGCAGAGGAATTAATATACAATTGGCTACAGACAGTGGCTATTTGCTACAGACAGTGGCTATTTGCTACAGACCTGAGATGAGCTGAGTTTCGTTTCAGACTGGTTTTGTCTGAAAATGTTGCAGTGCCTCCAAAATAAAGATGGTTGATCATCATCTTCTCTTACCATCTCTTACTTATGTCTATTATTTTTTGGGGTACAGCCCATTTTTTTTGATTACGCCACATCCAAAATCAACACCTGGCCAGGTTGGTGATGGCGTTGTCCTTTGCCTTCCTTCTTTGGCAGCAGCCTCCGGCCTCCAACGGTGTGAGTTTTGTTGGCGCGAAGCCCAGGTCCGCTGTGGCCCTTTGGCTGCATGGTTCGGATGTGTCGTCCTGGGGACTGCCCGTTTAACAGTTGGGATCTGGGTTCATTTGATTGCTGATCATTGATCATCACATAATCATCACAACAATATCATGTCCTATTATATAAAGAGTGGCTATTTCATGGATGATATAACCCAGTGACACTTGCTGCCTTCTAGGTACAGCGTGGCCCGGTGCTTTGCCGCCCAGCTCTTCCACGCCGTACCCCTCGGGCCTCTCAAAACGTGGCCACGTTTCCACGTCGAGGTCTTGCATTCTGGGCAGTGCCCTGGATGAATTCACACGAGAGTCAGCATATTTGATAGTTGTTATTATAAACTGCTACCAATATTGATACTCGTTGCAATCATTGTTAATATTGTTAGAAGTCAGAAGTGAGTAGTATTAGTTTAACTATTATCCAATACTATCCATAGTTGTTGGGAAGCTGCAGTGAGTCTTCGTAACGAGAAGCCCAACGGGAAATCATGACATGCCTTTTCTCTGACAACCACAAACAGATTCCCTGTGGCCAAATTTGAACTGCTGGTTGGCAAACGTTTGAAAAAGAAGGGAATGAATGATGTGAATTGGCCAGGTTAGACAATGATCCGGGTTAACCCTTCAGATGTTGGGCAAAGAAACCATCGCAACAAATTGCTCTTTGCATGCTGCTATGTCCCAATTGGGGAGCCCGGAGCCACTGGCAGAGACAGATACAGCACACTTACTTTTTCGGAAGTGGTAGCGTCCTCGTCATTGTGGTAGGTATTGCATGACCCTTACCATGGGTGTCGTTCCAACTCGCACTTGACAGTGAGGTGCTTGGCTCCCTCGCCTCTGTGAGCGTTCTCGTTCCTTTTTTAATCTTCCAGGCACATAAAACAAAACATGAGCAAACGCGTTGCTGAGTGAATCGTTTGATTGAGTGAGTATCACGCTTCATTGTTGAGTGAATCTTCTGTGGTTTGCAGTTTAGTACTTTCATTCGCCGTTGAAAGCGGACGTTTGTCCATCTCGGGTGGTGGCATGACACAGCTTTGATCACAGGGGAAGCTGACTCTCCACATGGCCCTGTTGCTAAAGAAACTGGTCCAGGTGGCACAGGACGGGACTATGTCATCTATGCCCTAAAATGAAGGGATACCGGGATAGTCTCCCAAGAATCCATTAATTAACGTTCACAAATTGACTACATCCCGAACTTGACCATTCATTTTCATCATGTTTATTGTGCAGGCAGGCAGTTGTTTGTAGATGATTGGGCAATTTACCATCATTTTGGACACTGAAGTTGACAGAAGGCAAAGAAACTGATCTTTCCCAAGTTTTCGCGGCAGGATCACAAGTACAAACTCCAAGCTCTGTGTATGCTGCCATTTTTCAGACTCTTCTTGATGTACGGTGGCTGTGGGGCTGTCACAACGGCAGTGCTGGTCGTGACACTTCGGCGAACGCTTGGGCAGTCAGGTCGCTTCTCAAGGTCCAAGGCATGTCAAAACGTCAAGCCTTACGCTATGACGATCCAGCCATATCCAAAGCATCCTGATGGTTCGCCCACTATCACCATGGAATCCTACCGCAAGTTGGAAGTGATCGACCAAGATGACCTTTACAAGAGTTTCGATGGCTCCAGCAAATCTTGGGAGAAACTGGCTGTGTGCTTGTGCCACATGTCGAAGGTGGGCCACCCTTGGAAGTCTTTTGTGGCTAAGCTGCAAGGGCATCCAGTCTTCCAGGCCCTCTCTGAGCGTGACAAGGTGACAGACACATCTTTGTTCTTGTGGCTGCGGCACGTCTCGGATGAGGATGTAAAAAGACATTTGATGCGTGAACTCGTGAAACACCAGCCAGTGCCACTAGCAACCGCATGGCCACAAAGATGTTTTTTGGACGAACTCCTTTGGACCATGCCAGAAGCTCCTGCCTTGGTAAGCTTGAAGCTGAATTCTGCTGTGGAAGGTGTTTCCAATGTTTTGAACCAGATCTTTGATACCGACTTCGCTCGCAAAGGGTCAAGATTTGGAGAGTCTCAGCATCCATTTGCCCAGATCCAATTTGATGCTGATATGAAACCCGAGAGCCGCCGGCACTTGGCAGTCATTGACGTGCATGGCACTCAGAAAGGATCATGGCCTCTGGAACTGGCAAAGTGCTGCCAGTTTCTGCTGGTCCACATCAAGGAGAAAGACTTGAAGTCGCGTGAAGTTCAATCATTTGTGAAGGAGATGTCCAAGAGTACCCGATGCAAATGTTTGTTCATCATGATTTGGGATGAAGTTTGCACGGAAGTGCACGAAGATCTGCAGCAAGGCCTTGAGGTTCCAAAGGCAGGACGTGCTCAAGTGTTGCTACGGTTTCCACTTTGAGCATTGTATACGGCATATGTATATATAGTCACCTGCAAACATTTTAAATGTGATGTAGTATAAATAAATGTAGTGTATCTATGTCCAGCCACGCTGGGAGGCAGTCTCGAAAGCAAGAATTCCATGGCTATGGGAAATGAATTGATAATTGTTTGTACAGAAAAGGTTGCCTACTGAAATGCTTCTCCGATTGTTTGAATGACTGACTGACTGGCTCAATGGTTGAATGGCTGAATGGACCACAGAAAGACTGCATGACTAAAGGATGGACGGAGTTGGCTTCTTCTTCTCTGAGCTATCTCTCTCTCTCTCTTCAGTTGCATCTTCTCTGAGAAAACTCCTCTCCGAGCTACTCCGTTCTCCAATGAATGCAACTCTTCTCTGATCCAACTCTAATTTGAGCATTTTGAGCTCCTTCTTTGAGCCAAATTTTTGATAATTTATCTCTTCGAGCCAACAAATCAACTAGACCAACCAGCTATTGAATAGCTACAGGTAACCAGTGAACCAGTGATGCCTGCTCATTGACTTGCAAAGCTCTCTAGTGATTTGCTGAGTGGTTGAGTTGATGGGTGAAGATGGTGCATTGCCCTTTGTCCACAACTCTGAAGTTTCTCATAAACTGTGACTGCTAACTTGCCACACAGGTAAACACAGTGGGCAAACTCGTCAGGGGTTGGTGGTCGCTGTCTTCCGACGGATCTCAACCGATGTGTGTAGCCCAAAGAATATCACCCTGAAGTTTGAACACATCGGTTTTCACTGCTTTTGTTTTGTGCAGCTGCCTGATCCGGGCATTGTTTCAAGCACTTCTGACTCCAGGTCCGCATTCTCCGCATCCCAGCTTCAGAAGCAAAAAATGCCACAGCCTCTGATCCTGCCTCCATCAAGATGCGACAGCAGCTATACCCTCAGCTGCAAGAACATCTTGGCCAAGAGAATCAGAACTCGACGCCTGGTTGGCATGATTGCAGAGTTCTGGGGGCGGGGGCAAGCTTCTTAGAACTATATATGGCAATACGACATGATCTAAGAACCACTGTAAGACACTGTAAGCATCCCACTAACGGAAAGACTGCAATTGGTCCCAAGAGCCGATCCCACTTTTGGACCACAGCAATGCAAGGCTGACAAGCAAGACTGGTGTCACCTTTGGAATTTAAAACATGTCGTTCAAGATTTTCAAGAATCCAATCTCATTGAATGGCCAAGGTCTGAGGCAATGCTTCGGGTGCAGGATCTACGAAATGTGATGAATGTGGACCAACCGCCACTTTGGGAAAGTTTGCGAAACCTTGCCACGTTCATCGCGGAGATCCTTTGTAACAATGATGATGGCCTACTTCTCAAGAAACAGTTTCCCATGGTGCATCTCCTCAAAAAGCAGCACCCTTAATTTTGCGGTTCAAACAGTTGGAAGGTTGCCTGCAGAGTGTGTTTCCCTCCTGCAAAAGTTGCATCCTGCATGCTGGAAGATCAGAGCCACTCTTTCTGAGGCTGTGCAAGGTGGAGCGTGATCTGACTTCAAGCAAAAATGCTGACAACCGACATGAAACTCTAGACCTCTTGGAAGAACGTCTCGATCTTAGCGCAACCTTCTTTGGCTGACTTGATCGAGGTTCCTGGTCGGAGTTGACATGGATTCATGGATAGTAGAGATGTCGTACAACCCTTGTCTAAGTAGCCCGTTGCTCTCAAAACACTGTTTCGCCCGCAACAGTGTCGAAGACTGCATTCCAGCGCGGCTTTTCCTCAAAAACTAGACTGCGTTTGGATCGTTTGGCTCATGATGTCACAACTTGGTTCAATTGTCTGGCTGAGGAGGTGAGCTGCAGCAAAAACAGAAGATTGTGAAGCCCAGCCATGTCTCTGAGGCAGGGTCTGGTGTGACATTTTGAGCTCCTGTAGAATTGGTACATGTTCCGATGAATTTGGGAGAGTTTGGTGCAGGTCCCAGGTTTGATGAGATTATTCTGTTGAACAAAGAGGATTAGCCTCCTTCAGCAGTGCCCATCCCTACCCTCTTAAAAATGGAATTTGAGGGGGGGAGTCGTACTGAAATTTCATTTAAAAATTCCATTGTTGCAATCATGTTTTCTGAATGATCAATATTCCTCATCATTCCATGTCATTGGCAAGCAGATGAAAATTAAATACTTGTGCTTAGCTCCTCCGAGCACATGTCAGACTGAAGTAGCACATGTTTACGGATGGCATCCCTCCAAAAATTGCGCTGCCGTCATCATACTTGCGCTTAGCTCCTCCGGAGCTAAGCGCAAGTATTTTCTAACCAGTGCCCAAGGCTTGTTAAGAAATGTTACTTTACAATTCCATTTGAGGGGTTGGATCACTATCCCAGGGTTTCCAAGCAAAAAAAGTGGAATTCGACAGGTTGGTTTTGTCCCCCCCGCCCTCCCCCTCTATAATGGTAGGGATCAGTGCCCGATTTTAGGGCCTTCTTGCATACAATGCCGCCAAGGAATTTGTGAAGATCCTCAATGCCAAAGATAGTGAGGCCAATCTTGAACAGCAAGGGCCTGAGTGTCAGAACAAAAAGCATGTGTTGTTAATTTGTGATATTTGTTTCTAGAAATGGCAGCCTAATGAAAACTGAAAGAACTCATAAGACAATGCTTCCAGTCACACGGCTAGCGGTTGCTCGCTGGATTGCATTCACTGCACCAACTCATTCATCTCATTCCATCTCGTTACATCCAGCTCTCTCCATCAAATTCAATCCAACCCACTCCGTCCAACTCACTTCAACTTCCTTCCTCATCTCGCTTCCCATTACTTGCTCGCTCCCATTGCTTTTCCATTTTTCTATTTTTTTCTAATTCTTCCCGCTTATATGACCATATACGGTCCCTGCCAGCTTTGGGTCACCAACCCTTGGGACTCTGAGACTCAGCTGTTTTTTGCAGGCAGTCAGGCAATCGATGAACTTTCGAGAGTAATTGGCTGAGACACTGAGACATGTTTTGAGTTGATCCAGTCATGTCCCGTCGTTGAGGCTCTACAAATTTATGGCTGAAGAGGTTGCGCGGCGTGGGAAGGAAGACGTGGATGCGCAACTTGCCATGTCTTACCTGCACAAAGAAGTCATCCAATTGTACTCTCACAGCGCGGAGCTGAACGACAAGGATGGCATCATCCAAGCCTATGAAAAACTTATCTACAAGGGGATGCCCTTTGAGATTCTTGATGGTGATCACATGCATTTTCCTCGCAAATTCCTTGAGGATCTCTTCAAGTGTTTGAAGGAGCGTGTCAGGGAGAAGCAACTGCAAGTTTGTAGCACAGCCGGTCCTCAAAGCTCGGGCAAATCTACACTCAGCAACCACCGATTTGGCAGCCGTTTTGGTGTCTCCGCAGGTCGTTGTACTCGAGGAATTTTTGGCAGTTTCCAGGTGACAGACGATGCAGTGATGTTGATCCTGGACACAGAAGGGCTGCAATCTGCGGAGCGAGCTGATCCAGAATTTGATCGCGTCATGATGCTCTTCATTTTTGCAGTGTCCAACTACATCGACATCACTGTGAAGGGTAACATGACTGAGCCGCTGCCAGGCCGCATTTGCCTGAATTTACCGTGTTCAAGTCCTTTTCCCTGTTGAGGTACTACCACGTACTATCTTTTTCCTTGATTGAACCAGACGTTCCAGGATAGCTTTTGATGGTGTTTCACTTGCCTAGTGACAATTCAGGTTGAAGAAGCTGATTCAAGTCTGTGTCCATGCCTGGAAAGATCTGAGAGTCAACAAGGTAGCCCAACCAAACATCCGATGGATCATGAATCAAGAGGCCGATCAAGACCCTCAGCATCACCACGACGCCTTTCAGAAGATGTTTGATGAACTGAAAGAAGTGTTCAGTTCAGATGATGTCAAGTCCCTACGAGATGTCTTGAAACTTGACAACCCGTCAATCGCAATCGTGCCTACTATGCATTCTGAATCCACCTTCGTCACGAATGCAGAGCCTGAAAAGTTTACTCGCCTCATGAAAGCAGACAGCTTTAACGAAACTTGTGCTGACCTTACTCAAACAATGCTGCGCCACTTCCGCACAAAGAAGACGGAGGATCTGTTTGGCTTGGAGAGTTGGCTCGACATGTCCTTGGCAGTGTTCCAAACAATTTCTACATTTCCGAACCTCACCAGTCTGTCTGATATCAAACAGATCAACCAGAGCAAACAAATGAAGACTTGGATTGAGAGGAAGATGCACAGCACCTTCAGGATTCCTGAGAAAAGGCAGAAACACGACAAAGTCAAGATTGCTGTTTGGAAAGAGTGCCTTGAAGCAGCAGGTGCCGCTCCAATTGACGAAGAGCTGAAGAAAAGGCTGAAGTAACTTGGTGATTCTTTCGAGGACTTTGTTTAAGCATGTCTAGTTTTTTGTTTTTTTTGCGAGGGTGAACTAGACCCTGCTTGAACATTTTGAGGAACCCTGAAACCTGATTGATTTGTTATGATTTGTCCTTTTGAGGCATGTGGAAACAGTCGGCCAGGCAAGCTTTTGATGATGAAGTAGGAGACCTGAAGCAACAGCTTGAAGCTGAGATGAAAAAAAGGAAGTGCGATTCCAAGGTCATAGACGACATGTCCCAACTGCTTGGCTCGCTGATCGGAAGGGAGTACTCAGAGTGGTTTCGTGGCGGAGTACAAGAATGGCAGAAGTCATTGGTACGCCAGAATCTCAGGACCGTGGAAATCTCCATGGTTCCAGAATGATCAGTTTATCACAGCGTATCCATTTTTCCCGAGAGCGTCTGAGCGCAGGGTTCTTCCAATAGTGGGGGTCTGTATCTCATCTTCTCATCTTCACATCTGTTCATCTTCACATCTTCTCATCTTCACATCTGTTCATCTTCACATCTGCTCATCTTCACACCTTCTCATCTTCACATCTGCTCATCTTCACATCTGCTCATCTTCACACCTTCTCATCTTCACATCTGCTCATCTTCACATCTGCTCATCTTCACATCTGCTCATCTTCACATCTGCTCATCTTCACATCTGCTCACATCTGCTCACATCTGCTCATCCTCACCTCTTCTCTCACATCTGCTCATCTTCACATCTGCTCATCTTCACATCTGTATCTCATCTTCTCATCTTCACATCTGTTCATCTTCACATCTTCTCATCTTCACATCTGTTCATCTTCACATCTGCTCATCTTCACACCTTCTCATCTTCACATCTGCTCATCTACACATCTGCTCATCTTCACACCTTCTCATCTTCACATCTGCTCATCTTCACATCTGCTCATCTTCACATCTGCTCACATCTGCTCATCCTCACCTCTTCTCTCACATCTTCTCTCACATCTGCTCATCTTCACATCTGCTCATCTTCACATCTGCTCATCTTCACACCTTCTCTCACATCTTCTCATCTTCACATCTGCTCATCTTCACATCTGCTCATCTTCACATCTTCTCTCACATCTCTCTCTCTTTTCTCTCTCTCGCCTTCTTTATCTTTCTCTTTTTAGGCCGAGGGTGGTGCCGGCGGTGAGTCACGAAACGTCAACCCTTTCGCACGAAATGAGGGTTGATCGGCAAAAACTGAGGTAAAATTGCGATTTTACTTGTCCCGGAGCAACCCTTTCGCACGAAATGAGGGTCGATCGGCAAAAACTGAGGTAAAATTGCGATTTGACTTGTCCCGGAGCAACCCTTTCGCACGAAATGAGGGTTGATCGGCAAAAACTGAGGTAAAATTGCGATTTGACTTGTCCTGGAGCAACCCTTTCGCACGAAATGAGGGTCGATCGGCAAAAACTGCGGTAAAATTGCGATTTTACTTGTCCCGGAGCAACCCTTTCGCACGAAATGAGGGTCGATCGGCAAAAACTGAGGTAAAATTGCGATTTTTCGTGTGCCGGAGCAACCCTTTCGCACGAAGTGAGGGTCGATCGGCATGTCAGGAACTGAGGTAAAATTGCGATTTTTCGTGTGCCGGAGCAACCCTTTCGCACGAAATGAGGGTTGATCGGCAAAAACTGAGGTAAAATTGCGATTTGACTTGTCCCGGAGCAACCCTTTCGCACGAAATGAGGGTCGATCGGCAAAAACTGAGGTAAAATTGCGATTTGACTTGTGCCGGAGCAACCCTTTCGCACGAAATGAGGGTCGATCGGTAGAAACTGAGGTAAAATTGCGATTTGACTTGTGCCGGAGCAACCCTTTCGCACGAAATGAGGGTCGATCGGCAAAAACTGAGGTAAAATTGCGATTTGACTTGCCCCGGAGCAACCGTTTCGCACGAAATGAGGGTCGATCGGCAAAAACTGAGGTAAAATTGCGATTTGACTTGCCCCGGAGCAACCCTTTCGCACGAAATGAGGGTCGATCGGCAAAAACTGAGGTAAAATTGCGATTTGACTTGTCCCGGAGCAACCTTTTCGCACGAAATGAGGGTCGATCAGTAGAAACTGAGGTAAAATTGCGATTTTTCCTGTGCCGGAGCAACCCTTTCGTCTGTGTGTAAAAGCGTCTGTGTGTAAAAGCTTCTGTGTGTAAAAGCGTCTCTGTGTGTAAAAGTCTCTGTGTGTAAAAGCGTCTGTGTGTAAAAGCGTCTGTGTGTCAAAGCGTCTGTGTGTAAAAGTGTTTGTGTGTAAAAGTGTTTGTGTAAAAGCGTTTGTGTGTAAAAGCCTCTGTGTGTAAATGTGTTTGTGTGTCAAAGCGTCTGTGTGTAACTGTGTGTAAAAAGCGTCTGTGTGTAAAAAGCGTCTGTGTGTAAAAGCGTCTGTGTGCACATGTGTTTGTGTGTCAAAGCGTCTGTGTGTAAAAAGCGTCTGTGTGTCAAAAGCGTCTGTGTGTAAAAGTGTCTGTGTGTAAAGGCGTCTGTGTGTAAAAGGTCTTTGTGTAAAAGCGTCTGTGTGTAAAAGCGTCTGTGTGTCAAAGCGTTTGTGTGTAAAAGCGTCTGTGTGTAAAAGCTTCTGTATGTAAAAGCTTCTGTGTGTAAAAGCTTCTGTGGGTAAAGGCTTTGTGTGTAAAAGCGTCTGTGTGTAAAAGCGTCTGTGTGCCAAAGCGTCTGTGTGTAAAAGTGTTTGTTTGTAAAAGTGTTTGTGTAAAAGCGTTTGTGTGTAAAAGCCTCTGTGTGTAAATGTGTTTGTGTGTCAAAGCGTCTGTGTGTAAAAAGCGTCTGTGTGTAAAAAGCGTCTGTGTGTAAAAGCGTCTGTGTGCAAATGTGTTTGTGTGTCAAAGCGTCTGTGTGTAAAAAGCGTCTGTGTGTCGAAAGCGTCTGTGTGTAAAAGTGTCTGTGTGTAAAGGCGTCTGTGTGTAAAAGGTCTGTGTGTAAAAGCGTCTGTGTGTAAAAGCGTCTGTGTGTCAAAGCGTTTGTGTGTAAAAGCGTCTGTGTGTAAAAGCGTCAGTATGTAAAAGCTTCTGTGTGTAAAAGCTTCTGTGGGTAAAAGCTTTGTGTGTAAAAGCGTCAGTGTAAACGCGTCTGTGTGTAAAAGTGTTTGCGATGCAAACTATTGTCTTGCACTTCTCACTATTTTGTCTTGATACTCCTCTTCTCGACTGCCTATAACACAGCTTTCATATACCGTTTCTAAAATTGCATCTCCATACTAACAAGAGAAGACCCTGCTCCTCTACGCTCTCGGGCCATCCGTCGTCTAGTTTTTGGTGGTGAATGGCAGTGTATTTGAGAAAACGCCAAAAAATGCATCGTTTTGGCATTTACCCCACTGGGTTTCCGGCAAAGGGTGGTTGTTCCCCTTTTGTGCCAATCTGCACACATACAGGAAAAGATAACCTTCACAATTGTTTAAAATTCCGGCATTCGGGGTTTCCTGCGTAAGATGCGATGAGACACTAACCAGTAGATAGCACTTATATGATATAGAGAATCACCCAGCATGTTTTCACGGCCTGGGTGCTGTTTGCACCGTCAAGGTCGTGCGAGATCACAAGGGCACGACATGCTCAACTCAGAAATCCGACGCTTGTTGAGAAGCCCTGGGACAGTTGGTGATGAGGACCAAGCCAACAAGTTTTTCGATCAGCTTTGGCAAAAGATTTTGGAAGAGATGGAGCACACACTTGACCGAGACCTTTTCGACAAACAGCTCTTCGATGACATCTATGAATTCTTTGCTGCGAAGGAGAGGACACACAAAGGCAACATGTGGGAACAGGCAAAACAGATGAAGCAGAAGCCCGAAGATTCTGAGTGGAAATCCTCTAAGAAACTCCTTCACCCCCTGCAGCCCTCACAGCAGGAGAAAGTCATTGGCAAAGCTGAGTTGAGGAGCGAGTATAAATATGTGAAGCTTCAAGGGAAGCTTTCCAGAAACCTTTGGAACCCAAACTTGTTTGGACCCCATCTAGCAGACACACTTCTCAACATGATGACAAGGATGATGAAACAGTTTGATCACTCGCGAGCAGATTTTGCTCCGTCTGTTGATTGGTGCAAAATCCAAGATGAAGTTTTGCAGATCGTGACGTGCAACTTGCCAAGTGATCCTCAGCCCCGTGTAAGAGACATGCAAGAGATCTATCAAAAAGTCGGTGAAGTGGCAGATGCAGTGAATGCAGAGTTATCAGAGTTTCAGCAGGAACTTTCTGTATGGGCTCGTGGTGAAATGGTCACCAAGGCTATCGCCCACACTTGGCAATCTATGAGCGAAGCAGCTTGGCAAGAACACATGAAGCCCATTGAGGAGTTCAAGGCAGAAGAAACCAAGCAGCGGAAGTACTTTTGCTCCCAGGTCTTGCAATGTTCGGAGGCTGATCAGGAGATGGCCAAGACGTGGATCGCAAGTATTGTGCAGAGTCTTTCTGAAAAGCTGTCGGTTGATGCTGCCAAGAACGTGGACATGGCGACTGCCGAGCGCCAAGAATCACTTAGCAGAGAAGCCATTGAGGGGGGGTTAGACCAGCTCCTTGGCAGTGATGACTTGGACAAGCAGGAAGAGTACATCCTCGATCCAAAACAAACGCTTGAGAAAGAACTCCAGCGTAGATTTGCTGCTCAAGTGGGCCCAGGGATCAAAAGGAGGCAGGAGGAACTATTGGCCAAGGTCAGAGACAAGGTGGGTTTTCTCCGCTCTGAACTGCGCAGCCTCCGTGACAAGTCAGACCTACAGGCTGAAAAGGCACTTGTGGAAGCGCAGGACTTTGCAAATGATCCCTGTGAGACCGAGTACGCACGCAAACAAGCCCTTGCCAGATGGATTGTGGCATTCCTCACCCTGGATGGTGATCTTCCTTCGAAGTGGTCTGTGGATGAAACTGGGCAGCTGGTTGCGTGTGATGATAAGGCGGAAGATGGCTGGCAGGTGAAGATGTCTCAGCTAGTGCCGTGCACGGGATCACCTGTGAAAGATGAGTCCCTGAGGGGCTGGATTCAGGCGCAAAGCTTGACATGTGTATTTGGTTTTAGTGATCTGTGTAATGATATATATTTGTAGTATTTAATATATAGTATGTACTTTGGATGATTGGGATATGCAGATATGCAGCGAAACTGGTAATTAGGTCTGCACTCTAAAGCTTTTAGCCAAGCCAAATCGTTTGTTGCCTCACCGTACATTCTGGCACTTTCAGAACCCGGTGATCAGGCAGCGAACCTGGAAAGGGTTGGCAATTTGCATTACTTCGTGACCGCAGCAGTGGAGGAGTTGGATCGGCAAATGAAGGATCTAGTTGTCTACCTGCAGGCTCAAGTACGAAGCAGTGTGGAAAAGAAGACAGAGGAACTCAAAGACAAGTTGATTCCTTGCCCTGTGCGATGCCCATGCTGCGGAAGGCTTTGCGCCAATCCTGACCCAAGTCATACGGTCCACTATGCTTGCGGACACTATCCACGTGGCTTTACAGGAAGATATGTTCGGTTCTCGTCGGGCAAGGAGATTGCTTCTACTCTTATGTGTACGGAGATGAAGGACTGCCGCGTTGCAGATTGATTTAATTTTTGCGTATGGAATGTATTACCCTGGAAGTCCAGGTCGTGGTTTAGCTATGATCCAGCACAACGTCGTGGTTTTACCATAATCCATGCTTATTATTATATATCATGATGATCTAAGGCATAAATCATCGTTCTGGTGGTTTTAGCAGCGGTGAACAAACCGTGAGACACCGTGAGACCCCCACTGAACGTCGTGGTTATGTGATGTTATGTGATGTTATGTGTATATCTTGGCGTCGTGGTTTTACCGTGAGCCAACCGTGACCAACGACTACCCTGTGCGTTTTTGGCGGTATGGACAAGAGAGTTTTAATTAACAATGACTAATATTGGCGAAGCAACATGTTACTAGATCAACATGGGTTTCAATTAACGCATGAACATGTAGTCTTGCCGCGTCGTTCGAGTACGTCGTGGTTTAAATTGTAACTATGTCTTTCGACATGTAGGTCTGTATCAGATTTGTTAAGGTGTCAAATTTCACGAGATCTTGGGGCTTGGATTTTTCTATTTCAAGTTCAATATGCACAATTTTCAGCATACTGCGCGCACAAGGTTCGCGAGCAAAAGCAGTCAATGCTGGGATTCACTCTGGATCAGCTATAGGGGCCCCATGGATAAAATTGGGTTTAGATTCATGAAAACAGTCGGAACCGGTGGGCTCTCAGTCGGAACCAGTCGGGCGATCAGGCCAGAATTCGTCCAACTGGCAAAGTATACAACAGAAACAAGAATCAGAAGACAATTTTGTTTCCAAGGTTGAACGGAAAGCCAGTCGGGAAAGTTGAGAATTGCACCTTTGACTTGTTCAAGACACAGTGGTTTTCTTGATGTTCAGGCATATTTTGATGAAAAAACAAAACCTTTCTGTCTTGGACGAGTAAAAACTGCAAACCTCAACTTCTCCAACTTCCCGAAAAGAAGTGTTTGAATTTCGGTGTTTGTTGGATACTTTGCCGGTTGGACGAGTTCTGGCCTGATCGCCCAACTGGTTCTGACCGAGGTCCGGCTGACGTCCGGCTTTGTCCGGCTGCTTTCATGCATTTCATCCGTGGGACCCAGCTGATCCAGAATCTCAGCATTAACGGTTTTTGCTCGAGAACCTTGTGTCTCCCATACTTCTCAAATTTATGTGGCATGCACGGGCCGTCAATCAGGCATAATAATTAAGTTATTTTTTCTGAAAAACACATCTGCCCCATATTTCGAGAACTTTGACACGTTGAGGTTGATGGATTTCGTAATTAAAGCATGTTTCGTATTATTATGAATTAATTAATTATTGACATTGTCAGCATGTTCGCTGCGCAGGAAAATACAAGCGTCTATGAACCAGGGTACCAAAAGGCCATCACGTGGAAGGAGTTCAAAGAGAAGCACGAGGACTGGGATTTCGGTGAATCAGATCCTGACCGGCATGACTTTGAAGAAAAGGCTCAAAAAGCATGGAAGAAAGTGGGCCCTCGGTTTTGCAAAAGCTTTCGAACAACATTCACAGAATACGGAGAGCAAAGTGCGTCCACTCCTCGCTCTCGGCACTATTTGTTGATCCTTGATGCTTCTCGTTCTATGAATGAAAAAGGCAAGTGGACCGGAGTCGTGGAGGCCGTGAATCAAATGGCCCGCTCGGAGAGCGAACTGGCCTTGGAGTCCAAGTTCTCGGTGATTTTGTTTTCATTTTCTGCCAAGGTGGTCATGTCCAACTGCACAGCTTCAGAGATATTGGAATCGAAGTTTGGCCCGCCCTTCAAGGGCACAAACTTCGCTAACGCATTCCAATGCGCAGCTGACTTTGTGAGGGAGACGGATTTTGCGGACCACTGCCCTATGGTCGTTTTCATGACTGATGGAGAGGACCTCCACAGGGAACAGCATGTCATGGACACAGAAGGTCTGGAAGGCTCCCGAAAAGCAGCTATTCGCAACTTGGTTGGTGAATTCAATGACAAGCAACAGCCATGGGATTTCAGGGCCATCGCCTACGGCTCCAGCCCTGACTTTGACCTGCTTGAAGAGATTGCTGAAAAGCACGTTGGCCGTGCAGCCGAGAGCAGCAAATACATGGAAGCCAGCTCTGCGTTGGATCTCGTTCAGGTCCTGGCCCTACCAAGCTTCGCTTTTTGTGAACAGAGGAATTGTATGGAATTGTTCAATCAGCGCCTTGTGTTACACAGTGTTGGGTAGCAAAATTAGCCGAGACACTGCAACTCTGTCTGAGGCATTCCTGGAGATAGCTCAATCTTCCCCCAACGTGCCTCCTGCTGGGAGCCATTTACTCAGAAATGAGTCAGCAAAGATTTTTTTATGATTCCAGTTTGTGCTTCCAAAAGGCGTCAAAAAGCAAGCATCCCAAGAACACTTTTTGCACCTTCAACATAGATCAGAAGATTTTGCACGGACCAATGGAAATACAGCTCCTCTGAGAGAGAAACCAAGGCACGGCAGCTCTCTAGTGTCACATTTTGACAGACGTGCATAGCTTTGCCCCAAATTTGAAGGTGAAGATGGTGAAGGCTGAGAAGACGCTGAAGACCTTGAAAATGGTGAAGACACACCTGAAGACCGACCATTGCCCATGCAGGTGAGATATGCTGGTGCTACTTGTAGAGACCAGACAAAACGCTCATACAATCAAGATCAACCAAGTGTCATTCTTGCTGCAACTTCACTGCCTGTTCAAGCCGGTGGTGCAAGTGGAAGTGAGTACTGTATTAACACAACTGATGCAGGCATCAGGCAAGATAGAGCAATTCAGTAGAGGTATATAGGTCTTCCTCTTTGCGAGTGTGTTAAGAACTTAAGGATTTGTTGGCATTGACTTGAGTCATGGCTTCATGGCTCCCTTTCAAAATCTGTAACTTTTGCTTGGACTTGCTGTTGGTCAAAACCATGACCGATCAAATTTCCTCTTGGCAGGCGAAGGTGTTGCAGTCCTGAGCTGTGCCAACTCCATGCATTTGAATTCACACTTCAGCATTTAAAGCTATTTACAGCACCTCTGGCAAGCAGCCATGCCAGACCTGTGCTGATTGGCTGCATCATACAGCAGATGCAAAATTCATCCTACGTCTTCCCTCTGGAAGCAGCTTCCAAGAATTGAAAGATGATACCGGAGCCGTTTCCTACTTTGAAGATTCTTTGTGGCTTTTCCGAGAGTTTGAAGGTCAAAATGGATCAAAATGGTATATTTTGCCCTTAGCATGGAGGATACAGGGTATCTTCAACTTGGAAGGCTGCAACTCCAGGTGCAGTCTGAGCAGGGTCAGGTGTGGTACCCCGCCTGCTTGGTTGGGACCACATTGGCAAACAGATGCAATCGGCACGGCGCGGGCCTTTTTGAACATTGAATGTTGAACAGTCACCAGCGTGTGCACAAGTGCGCCGAACATTGAAGCACCATCCAGAGGTTACGGGTTGAATGAGAAAATGCAGGATAAAATAAATTCACTTGGGATGCACGTGCCGCCTGCATGCCTGTGGTTCCTGGATGGTTCTTGATGGTAGTCTTGCATCAGTTTTGAAATCCAACGGATGCGGATGCGCTGCTTGTGCCAATGGAATTGTCACGTGCATTTATAGAACTTTTGCAAGGTCACCAAAACAGATGAAAATTTGCATGGCATTTATGAGGCATATTGCGGTCATTGCTTTCAGTCCAAACATGTATTCGTTTATAGACTTAGCGCATCTTCGCATTACAGCGCTTGGCGCGTTTGTTCCAGTACAGAATTGGAACAGATACAGGAGCTCAGACTAGCTTGTTCTCGTTCAGCACAACAGAAGTTCTATAGGGCCTGAAAGATTTGGAGATTCGCAGGGTGGAAAAAGATCATTGAAGCAACGTCTTGACGATTTAAGAAAGGGGCGTTTGGTACAGCAAGGTGCAAACGTAGATATAGCAAATAGAATGTCAGAAAGAATGCCAGATAAAATTTTACCAAATCTGGCTGCACCGAAGGTACGTAAAGCCCAACTTTCGTCTAAACGTGCCCGAGTTTGGCGCAAATTAGGCCCAAATTGGGCCCTCAAGCCCAGGCACACTCTAATGGCTTTGATTGGGCCGAATACACCTATTCCTTTCCTTTTTATCGATTCTCTGGGTACTCGTTACACTGCGATTCGAATATATTAAATAAAATACCATTAAAGCGAAAATAAATAAATCCGCCCACACCGCTTTGGCGGTGAAGGCGTGATTATTGGGGGGCAACAGCAACACTAAATGCTCAATGACATTTGTTAATATAGCAGTCGCTATATCAGCTTTAGCTGGGGGGGGGGCCAAAAACGGTTTCGCACCGAGACCAGACCCCAAAAACGGTTTCGCACCGAGACCAGAATACGGTGGTGTTTTCGACATTTTTCGAGGATTTTTTGGTGTCTGAGCGCAAGAGGGTATTGAAATGGAATTTTGGGTCATTTTGGTAGCTTTCCGGCAATGGAAAAACGGCCAAAAATGAAAAAAACATTGTACATAGCAAGATTTTGCAGTGTTTTTGGATGCCAGAGCATTGAAAACACTGCAAAAACAAGTGTTTTGGACTGACGTTATAGCAAAAAACGTGTAAATTACCGTATGTTTGACTGGAAACATTACAAAACACTGTCAAAAGCAATGTTTTGGAAGGATTTACTGCCTTTATGGCAAAAAACGTGTAAATTACCGTCTGTTTGACTGGAAACATTGGAAAAACACTGTCAAAAACAATGTTTTGGAAAAAAATCATATATAATATATATGTTGGAGTTGGCTACCGGCATTGGCACATGGAAAATTTGAAGAAAACACTGTAAATAGCGGTATTTTCAACGGTTGGGGAGATAAGGGAATTGGAAGCATTGTCGAACATGATGTTTTCGACCGGTTTTATGGCGACAAAAGTGTAAAGTACCGTGCATTGAAGGAAACCATTGCAAAAACATGGAAACACATTCAAAGAACACGGGATTTGGGGGACTATCTAGGCGTCGTTGTCTAGCTATTTGAAATTCCGCAGCTTGGAGAGCCTCCAAGGGAGGGAAAAGTGAAAATTCCATAGCTTGGGAAGCTGTCACGGCGGGAAAAAGTGAAAATTCCCTAGCTTGGGAAGCCCCCACGGGGGGGAAAAGTGAAAATTCCCTAGCTTGGGGAGCCCCCACGGGGGGGAAAAGTGAAAATTCCCTAGGTTAGGGAGCCCCCACAGGGGGGGAAAGTGACAATTCCCTAGCTTGGGGAGCCCGCACGGGGGGGAAAAGTGAAAATTCCCTAGCTTGGGGAGCCCCCACGGGGGGGAAAAGTAAAAATTCCCTAGCTTGGGGAGCCCCCACGGGGGGGGAAAGTGAAAATTCTTAGCTTGGGGAGCCCCCACGGGGGAAAACCACCCTTAGCCCCTCTCACGGACGGAAATAAACCTGCGGTGTGGGCGGCCACCCCACGCGAAGCGGGGTGAATAAATAAATAAATGAATTAAAAAAATATATAATATCATATTTATTTATATTTGTATATAATGTGAAACTCTCAAGTTATCTGTGGAAACTGTCCGGCCATCATTCGCGCTGCCGTGCGCCTGGTTCCCTCAAGGGAGGGTGGGCGTGGAGTCAAGGACATGGCGATGGGTAGATAAAAGGGTTTGACATTCGCATTGGTAGCGGAGCCGACCCCTGGCTGCCGCATAGGACCCCCGAATAAGTTTTCTGGGATTTTTGGAGAAGGTGAGGCATCTTCCAGGCAGGTTTCTAAAGGTTAGGTGGCATAGGACTAGGTGGTCCTAGGAACAGAACAACAGGTATCACTAGCGCACAGGGTGTGCTTCCAAGTGCTGAGCCATGTCGGGCGCAGCACCAGCCGGTGGATCTGGCATCGAGGACAAGAACAACATTTGGGCGATACTTCCTAGCTTCGACCCAGCTGTTGATGACCCAAAGGAGTATGGAGACAAAGTCAGGTTTTTGGAAAGTATTTGTCCGAAGAAGGATAAGGCGATGCTGGCACCGAGACTGGCTATGCTGACAAAAGGAACAGCGTGGGCCCAAGTGAAGAGCCTGTCACCTGAAAAGCTTATGGATCCCAGCACCGGGGTCAAAACTCTCTTGACAGCCCTTGCAACTTGGGAGGAGGCTGAAGAGCTTCAAGTGTACGAGAAGTTCGAAAAGGCTCTGTTTCGAACAGTCCAACGTCAAGATGAAACAACGCAGAGTTATGTGAACAGGCTGTCTGTTGCCTTCAATGAGATTGACAGCCGCACAGTGAGTGACTTCCGTGCATTTGTGCTTCTTCGACAGTCCACCCTCAGTGTCGAAGACAAGAAGCGAGTGATATCAATGGTTGGAGAGACTCTGAGTCCTGCCAAGGTTGAAGGAGCCATGCGGCAGCTTTCAACAAGGGTGTTGGTTGACCAAGCCGAAGGCCGAAAGAAAGTCTACCCAGTGAACATGGTGGAGGAGGATTCAGAAGATGTCATGGTAGCCGTTGATAGTGAAGCACCGGATGAAGAAGCAGCAATTCAGTGGTTGGCAGAACAAGGCGATGAAGAGGCCATGATCGTCCAGGACTTTGAGGACCAGCTGATAGAGGTCTGCCAGGAGAACAGCGACTTGGCCATGTGTCTGAACAGCTACACGGAGGCCAGAGCCAAGATCCGTGACAAGCTGAGGCACCGAGGTTTCTGGCCCCCTCGAAACTTTGGGAAGGGTCGAGGCAAAGTCGGAAAGAAAGGTGGCCGTTTTGAAGGTGGCTTCAAGAAGAAGGGGCAGACCTTGGCGGAGCGCATTGCGGCATCAACATGCCGTAGATGCGGTCAAAAGGGGCATTGGAAGCAAGAATGCCCGCAGCGCAACTTGGACAAGGAGGAGGTGCACCTGACCTTGGAGGAGATCTCTCAGGAACCTGAAGAGGAGATCCTGACTGAATTGCCTGCGGAGACCTGTAACATGACCACCGTAGAGGAAATGCTCAAAGCCATGCAGGCCAAGGACAGGGTGGAAAATACTTCACATCCCATCTTTTCCAAAGTGTTTCAACATGTTAATGAAGAATTCGAAGAAACAGCATTTACCATTTCCCGGGAATCAAAATTGATGAGTGGTCACTGTTTGGGAAATATCCTCTGTCGGGCTATGGCCAGGAAAGCTGAACATGAGAAGGGTAGGGTCCCTGTTTTGATGGTAGAAACCGGCTGCCCTGGTATCATAGACACAGGGGCAAGCAAGACAGTGATTGGCCAGGGAAGGGTAAAAGAGCTGATTCGGTGTTTGCCATCTGAGGTTCAAAGGAGAGTGAATTGGAAGAAATCTGAAACAGTGTTTCGTTTTGGAAACAATGCAGTTTTGCCAAGCCTAGGAGCTCTGTATGTTCCTTTCGGTCGTAGGTGGTTGAGGATTGAGGTAGTTGAAGGTGAAACGCCATTTCTTTTATCCAATTCATTTCTCAAAGCCTTGAATGCGGATGTGTGCACGTCAAATTCGAGTCTTCGTCTGAACACGCTGAACAAGCATGTTCCCCTCAAGACCAATTCCAAGGGACTGTTTGTCATTGAATTGACTGATGTCCTGGAAGCCTTTTGTCGTGAGCATGAATGTAAAACCCCCGAAGTAGTAAGTAATGTAAGTGTCGAACAGCTGAAGCATGCAGCAGCGACTTCGGCAGCGACTGTGGCTCAACCTCCCGAAGTTCCAGCAGTGCAGGTGTCTTTTACGACTGAGTGTTCAACCTTCAGCCATGCAGAAGCCCTACACGGTGCCGCTCGAT